GGGTTGGAAATCCCCACGAGTCACCCTCGAGCTGAGCCACAAACCCCGTCCCTTCAAACTCCATCTCAGGGGGCTTCCCCCACGTATTTCCTCAGTTCAGACAGAAAAACTGTGATTTTCTTACCACCTGACCTTTCCTGTGACACCCTCCAACCCCTCCAAAAATCCACAAAACCAAACACAGAAATTAAACAACCCCCGACAAAAGGAGAAAAAAAAAAACCTAAATCTGAATCTCAGTTTTAATCAAAGATTCATTGGCTATTTCCAAAAAGCTTAAAACAATTTACAGTCATTTCAGGAATACTGATCAAGGTGCTCTTGGCAGAGACCCAGCACTTGCCTTTGGCAATATTTTCGAGAGCACACCGAGTGGGGAATGTTTACTTTAACACTGGGTTGCTCATAAGTTGTTTCTGTGACTCACACCCAGATTTCCCACCCACATTTCCACCACTACTGTGATATTAGAGTACAGCAGGTAGCTCCATTCAAAAAAAAACCAAAAAACCATGTAATTTCCAGATAGCTACAACACAAATGCCGAAGTATTTTCCTTTATAAAAAATAGTAACCAGCAGGAAAACAAGATTTTCCTGGAGTATTCACTTCATGGACATGCTGGAACCAACCAAAATTCCCCTTACAAACTTCTCCTTGCCAGTCCACGGCTCCATATTTTCAATTATCATCCAGCTGACTCTTCAACAGGAATATAAATTATTATTATAAAGTTATCTCAGCAGCAAAATCCAAACTACCAGCCATGGGATTACCTTTCTTAATGCTCCATATTGTTTTCTGTACTTCTTATTCCAGGACACCCCTATTTTCTCCAATAATTTCTGCCCTAATTGATCCACAGGAATTTGCTTCGAGTCTTCCTGCAGAGAAACGAAAAACTGGGATGAAAACAGGCTGCAAAATCACAAAGAAGTCAGTTTGGAAGTGCTTCCATCATTCCTGGTTTTTATTAAGCCAATGTAAGATCACCTTTTGCAGCACCTTTGGGGAGCAGCTTAAGAAATATTCCAAAAGGACCTTTTTCTGTATAAAGAGAAACTATTACTGCCCCAGTTTCAATTTTCCCACCCCAATTTCAATTTTTCAAGCTTCAATTTTTTTCAAGTCTCAGTTTCCTTTCCAGCCCCAAAATTTTCAAGCCTCCATTTCTTTTTTTTTTTCCAAGCCTCCCTTTTTTTTCCAGCCTCACATTTTTAAGTTTTCATTGCTTCCCAGTAAGTTCAGAGGAGCTCTGGACACTCAAACCTGCCCACTCTCACACACACACACAAACGCCTTCCAGGCTCAAAATCCAAGCAATAAACCCCTTACATACCATACCTCTGCTAAAATCCCTTTTAAGACTGCCAGGGGATTCTCAGTTTCTTTGAAATTTTCAGCATCTCTTCCAGCCTTATCTTCAATCAGCTTTTCCTCTTCTTCCTGTGCGACAAAGAGAAGAGACTCCCAGATGCTGTTGCATCACACAGTACTGGGTTTGATTATTCTGTAGTAAAACCAGAAGGAAACTCTGATTAATTATCCTTCTGAAGGACACAAGACACCCCAAAAGCCTCATAAAATATTAATAAGCTTGGCTGCACATTCACCCTTTTCCTGGAAAATAAAGCAAGGAAGGGGGAAAAAAAAAAACCCCAAACCAACCCTTTCTGACTCACCTGTAGCTGCCAGTTTCCTAATTCATCCACATCTCTGATATAAACATGATAGTGTCCTCCATAGCAGCCACCTTTGTGTATAATAACAGAGAAGAGCTCATACATGTACTCTGAATCATCCATTTCAGGCTTGAAAGAGAGAAATAATAACAGTCACCAGGACACACACTGGGAAGCGGAGCAACCCCAGGGCAGTTCCACACCAGCAGAGATTTCTCAGGGCGTGTTTTTGCAGCTTAAAATGGTTTTTGTTTGTTTTTTTTTCAGTGCTGGCAACACAGGGGAGGGGTGATATAAACCATGGAATGGGCTGGGTTGGGAGGGATTTGAAAGCCCTTCCACTGTCCCAGGTTGCTCCAAGCCCTGTCCAGCCTGGCCTTGGACACTTCCAGGGGCGGGGAGTGCACAACCTCCTCTGTGTTACCAAGTAACCTTGTTTATTAATATTTGTTATTTAATGAATATTCTTTATTAACAATTTTTATTATTATATTTAATTTTTTAATTATTACCGTTGATTTAAATGTTTAATTGTTACTATTAATTTAAATTTTTATTTTTATTTTATTATTATTATTATTATTATTATTATTTCTGTATTTAAGCGGGCTCTTTAAGGATCCCAAATTGTCAGGAAGCGACGGTACAGCTCAGTTCCTAACCAAAATCCTATCTGTGAATTCCAATGAATAACTGGGGGCACACAAAACACACGTAGCTCAATTCACACACCACACGCTCAGACAGCGACGATAGAAAACCCAACTTCCATTTCCAGCTGAGAAGCCTGGGAGTTTTCAAGGAAGGGGCAGGTTAAGTTCTGCAGAATTATCACACCCCACACAGCTACAAACTATTCCCCCTGCCCTCAGAAAGAGGGGCCAGCAGAGGGGAAGCCCCCGGGTCCCCGAGGGCCCCCAGCTGGCGGCAGGAGCGGGAGGGAGGGAGGGAGGGCTCAGCACGAACCTGCTCGCAGAAGGGCCGCAGGTTGATGCGCAGGGGGAAGGGGTAGCAGCTCGTCTCCTTGTACCTCTCACCCCTCTGGAAGTCGAAGTTGAACCTGAGCAGGGACACGGTGAGGAACGGCGGCAGCTTGCGCAGCTTGGCCGACTGCGGGGGGAGCGCAGAGAGCGGCGTCAGAAAACGAGGGACACGGGGGAGATCCCAGTCAGTAATTCCATTTCCACGGCCACACAGCACTGGAAGTCCCCCTCCTTTATTCCTTCCAGGCAGGAAAGCCAAGAAGAATCCATTTTCATGAGGGACTATATTAATGAAGATTGAACAGCTTGGTGTGGGACACACCAGGAACCCTCGGGGGGAGTAAAACCAAGCACCTCTGCATGCAAGTGGGTACTCAATGGCCACGTCCCTGAGCCTTTCCAACGTCCCCATCCAGCTCCCATTCCCAGGAGAACCTCCCAGGAACACGCACATGGCTCAACCAACCCCCTGAATTAGGGATTCTTGTTTTATCCACTGTCAGGACTGTGGCAAAGCTCAGTGGAACAAGGATTCCAAAATCCCACGTTCTGCCAAGCTCAGTGCGAAACCAGACTGTGCCATGAAATTTTGATCAAGTCCTGGAACAGGAAACAAGAAAGGAGGGAGAGCCACAACCAGAGAGCCCCAGTGTACACAGGGATGGAAGAGCTGTGCTGCTCCAACATCCCTCCTCCACACTGCAGCCCTCCAGCACAGCCTGACATCCCCAGATGGGGGATTTCCTACCAAAATCCGGAGTTCCCACTCTCCTCCTGCATGGATGAGCACTTGCAGAGGCACACAATTGTTACCCTGCCCTCCCTTGAGCCCAGCCAAGTTTAATCCAAGCAGCCCTTGCACCAAGGCACGTGAGGCACTGCCGAGTGTTCCCGAGCCCAGGCACTGATTAACCAGCCTGTCCTCAGCTCCCCTTTGGAACAGTCCCTCCCACATCCAGCTGTGGGGTTTGGATTGCACAAGCTCTGCTGTTGGGAAGAGGGCAGAGTGCACCAACAGCTTCCTTCACAAAACACTGAGCAGGAGTTCCCATTCCCCTGTGCAGAGCAACTTATGATCATTGTTTTTATCTCCCATTTGGGTTCCTTGGGATAGAATTTCCATGGTTTTCCTCAGTACAGGGATCTGGGTTTTCTCTTTATGCTTCTTAACACAGTTGCTCAAGTTTCAAAGATTCATGGAATGGTTTGGGTTGGGAGAAACCTTAAAACTCATCTCATCCCACCCCTTCCACGGGCAGGGACACCTTCCACCAGCCCAGGTTGCTCCAGCCTGGCCTGGGACACTTCCAGGGATCCAGGGGCAACCACAGCTTCTCTGGGCAACCTGTGCCAGGGCCTGCCCACCCTCCCAGGGAAGAATTCCTTCCTAATAACCCACCTAACCCTGCCCTGTGGCAGTGGGAAGCCATTCCCCCTTGTCCTGGCACCCCAGTCTCTCTCCATCTGTGGCTCCCTTCAGATCCTGCAAGGTCACACTCAGGTCACCCCAAAGCTTCTCCTCTCCAGGCTGAACAATCCCAGCTCTCCCAGCCTTTCCTCCAGTCCTCTGATCATCTTGGGGCCTCCTCTGGACTCGCCCCAACATCTCCATGTCCTTCCAGTGCTGGAGACCCCAGAGCTGGAGGCTCCAACCAAGCAAGCTGAGCTCTGAGAGCCATCAAGGAGTTACCTTCGAAGCTTCAACAAGTTTATCACAGGCTCCACATCGATACAAGTTGTCATTTTCAAAGTATTCTTCCTCCACGTACATGTTCCACAGGGCCTCCTCCAAGCCAGCAACACCTTTCACTGCCACTGTGAGGTCTAAGAAATCTTCCTACACAGAAAGCACAACAAAAAAAAAAGGAGCTATTGAAGCGGTGGAGGTTCATGGGACAGTAGGAAGATCCTCACTGCCATCACCAAAGCAGATGGAAATGTACTGCTGATGGGAGAAAACCATCAGAGGAGAGAAATTCATTTTTAAACCCCGATTTTTTTGGAATCACAAAGAGCATCAAAGACTGCAAATATTTCTTTTGCTGTTGTTAGAGAGCTGAGCAGTGAGGTAACTGCATCTCCCAAAGCCTCACAGGACGCAGGAACCCCTGGGGTTTTCTCCCCTCTGATGGAGGTGGTTTGGAAAACGCAGCCAAGGCTTCCAGTCCCGATTCAACAAGGATACAAAAAAGGTGAGATTTTTTTTTTTTTTTGGACTTGAAAAAAAGAGAAAATAGAATATTGGAAGTACCTTCAGCACACTGAGCAGAGCCCTGTGGTGGAAAATGCCCCTGCTTTACCTGTCTCTCACTGACGTTCTTGCACTCCTTGCAGACGATCTGGTTGACAACGATGCCGTGGTACAGCCGGTTGATGAGGTCATGGCCCGATGTCCCCACCAGGGAGGTCTCCAGAGCACTGAACAGGATCCTGTTCAACTCCTGCACATCATGTTGCCTCATCTCCTGCCCCAGGAAACAGGGAGAAGTCAAACAGTGCTCTGCTGATTCCTTAAAACCAGCATTTATCAAGTGTCACAGAGTGACTGCTCCCAATTTACTCCTTGAGGAGTAAAACATCACGTTTATTCCTGTCCTTGAACTGGTTAAGCTGAGCAGCTCCAAGTCCATCACCTACAGCCCACATCAAACACTTCCACTTGGGAACCATCCCAGAATGGTTGGGAGGGATCTTGATGCTCATCTCATCCCACGGGCAGGGACACCTTCCACCAGCCCCGGCTGCTCCAACCTGGCCTTGGACACTTCCAGGGATGGGGAAACCACAGCTTCTCTGGGAATTCCATCCCAGCCCCTCCCCACCCTCCCAGCCAAGAATTCCCTCCCAATTTCCCACCTAACTCTGCCCCCTGGCAGTTTGAAAGCCATTCCCCCTTGTCCTGGCACTCAACTCCAACACGAGTGACACAGTTCATTATGGGGTAAGGATCTGAGTATCTGAGGACACTGTTGGAAAAACATCCCTGTAAAAACCAAGGAAAAGCTACTGGAGTTGTATCAAAGAGAACAACCATCTTCTGCAGCTTCCTGTGAACTGGCAAGGAGCTCGTGTGGAGATCCCACAACAGCTGACCCAATCCAAGGTCATCTCCACAGCCTGAAGGATTTTAAGACGTGTCTTAAAGGTCGAACTCCAAGGAACAAAAACTCTCCACTGAGGAAAACAAGTTCCCAAGGGCTGGAGATCTGCACCTCATGGCTGTTCCAGCCAAAGCTCTCGGTGAGGTCTGTGGTGGATGCAGCCTGTTGGTCCAAGAGCAGGAGCTGAGCAAACAACCTCTGGAGCTGCAACGGAATTATTCGAACCTGGGGACAAAACCCAAAAAATACACCCAAAACAGGTCAGAAAGAGTCACCAAAAATCACTTAAATCACAGTAATTTGGTACAGAATTTGTAATAACCATCACTGTCTGTGGCTTTCCTAACAGGTGACTTGATTTACACCAAAACAGCAGTGATGCTTTGTTCCCAAAAATCTACAGTCCAACAGAATCATGGAACGGTTTGGGTGGAAAGGGACCTTAAAGAACATCTCATTCCATGGGCAGGGACACCTCCCACTAGCCCAGGTTGCTCCAACCTGGCCTTGGACACTTCTAGTGATGGGACAGCCACAGCTTCCTCAGGAATTCCATCCCAGTCCCTCCCCACCCTCCCAGCCAGCAATTCCTTCCCAATCTCTCATCTCTCCCTGCCCTCTGGCAGTGGGAAGCCATTCCCTGTGTCCTGTCCCTCCATGCCTTGTCCCCAGTCCCTCTCCAGCTCTCCTGGAGCCCCTTTAGGCCCTGCCAGGGGCTCTCAGGTCTCCCTGGATCCTTCTCTTCTCCAGGTGAACCCCCCCAGCTGTCCCAGCCTGGCTCCAGAGCAGAGGGGCTCCAGCCCTGGGAGCATCTCCGGGGCCTCCTCTGGACTCATTCCAAGATATTTCCTGTGCTGGGTCACACCAACAGAGCCATGGAACACACCTGCAGCGATCAACCAAAACTCCCCCATCACCACAGCGAAAAAGAACAGCTTCCCCTGATATTATTCCCGACACTAATCCCTAAAAACTCAGCTCCAACACACCATGACCCACAGATTTCCACGTGGAGGGACAGAACGAGACGGGAAGGAAACATTCCAGCAGAGACAGACTCGATATCTGATCCCTGAAGGAAAAGCTTCTGGCACTGGGAACTTAGAATTGTGTGGAAAATCCAGACTGCTTTTGGGGTCAAATTTGGGCTTTCCCCCCTCCTCACAACAAGGGTCACGGGAACTGAAACAAAATTCCTCCAACTCAACCCCGAGAAGTGACTGAAGGATCCCCAGTACCTTTGCATCTGGTTTCCTGCTGTCATCCAGAGTCCCGAGCTCCTCAGGGCCCAGAGAGAACAAAGCCTCTGGAATGGGAAAGAAAACACCTCTTTAAATAATGCAACATCTGGGGAAAAGGGGACTAGGGTGAAAAAAGGGACTGGGAAGGAAAGACAGACTGGGAAATATCTCTTTTGGGAATTGCAGTGATGGGATTAAGAAAATGAACAACTCTAGACAGCAAGAACCTCATTTATTTACCCAAACTGTAACTTGTAAGGAAACTCGGTGTTTCTAATCCTTAAATTTTGTGCCAAACTCGTTTTACAGCCCAACATCCTGGAATAATTTACTGGAAGTGAACTTGAAAATGATCTTGAGCTCCTTGCCTTTCACAAATATCCAGCAACGAAAGTGTCCCTAAAACATCACCCCAATTGTTGGTTCAAAGAAGGTTTTGAAGCCTTTACCTCTAAATTCGGGTGTGAAAAGCAGAGTCTGCAGCAGGGAATTGAGGTAGCAGGTCCCACCCTGGTTTTTGATCCCACTGAGGTTGGTGAAATCCCTGGGAGCTGGGGGTTCACACTCTCTGGGCTTGGACGTCTTCCCTTTTCCCCAGTGGTTGTTGGAAATGAAGGAAAAATCCTCGTCAAATAAGTCCCCAAACATTGTGAAGGCAAAAGAGTCCTTGGAAGGAAAAAAAAAAAAACCAAATGCAAGAGGAGTTATTTGCTATAAAAAGGGCAACTGAACCCACTCAAACCCTCAGAAATAAACCTGTGTTTATATTTGGTGCCCACTTTATATCTAAAAATTCACATCAGATCCATGCAAAAAACGTAAATTAACGCAATAAAGAGGAATTAAAAGCATTTCTATTCCCACGGGCCTAAACAGAATCAAACACATCCCAACTCCATTTGGCCCCAGCAAAAAAAAACCAAAAAAACACGTGTAGCAAAATAAATTAGCCCTTTTAAACATCCAGAGTTAAGGAGTGCTCAAGCCTCCTGCAAGGAAAAACAAGCAATCCCTGAGTTATTCTGGAGCAGGGAATAACCACTCCCTAATTTACCTTCACCCCCATGTGCAGTTTTATGCACCTTGACCTTAATCTACCTCTTCCAAAAGCTCCCAGACAGCTGGAATTAACCTGCAACGACTGGACTTGTCTCCTACCTTAATAATTAATCTTTCACTTAATCCACCTCCTCCACAGCCCTTAAACTTCTCCTTTACCTCTCTGAGAGCATGAAGACTCTAAAGCTTTAAAGCTGCAACCTTTCAGTTGATTCCACTGCTCTCCTGCTCTGGATCTGCAGCAGCTCGCGGTGCAGAGGAATTTTCATCTCAGGCAGGCACAGCTCCAGCAGACACCCCCCCCACCACTCCAGGGAAGCTCTTCCGTGCCCAATCCTCCCTGGCTCCTCATTCCTGGAGCCCCCAGCACTGCTGCTGGCACAGCCTGCTTCCCTGGGACCACCTGGGAACAGGATTGCTGGGAATTCTGGGGCAGCTCAGAGTGTACCATGTGCCACTGCCAGGGCTGGGATGAATCCAGGGCAGGAGATCCCAACCCCTTCTAATAAATCCAGGACAGGAGAGCCCAAACAAATGAGACGGATCCCCAAGCCCCTTTAATAACCCCAGGACAGGAAATATCACCCCCCCCCCCCCCATAATAACCCCAGGACAGGAGATATCACACACACCCCCCTATAATAACCCCAGGACAGGAGGTGCCCCCGAACCCCTCAACAAACCATTCCAGGAGACCCCAAAACAGAAGCCGCCAGAGCCCTGCAGCAAGGCTGCGCCAGGAGATCCCAAATCCCAGCACTAACACCCCGATAACCCCCCCAAAAAAAGCGCTGTCCCTCCCCGTCACTGACCGTGCCCAACGCGGCCCTACGGCCCTCTGGCCGCCGCCATCTTTGTCGGGGGCGTCGCGCAGGACACGCCGGGAGCGGCGGCCGCGGGGGCTGCCGGGAGTTGTAGTTCCGTACCGGCCGCGGGGGCTGCCGGGAGGTGTAGTTTGGAACAGGGTGTCCAGGGGGGAATGCGCGGATATCCCATCCCTGGAGGTGCTCCAGGACGGGATGGGGCTCGGAGCAACCTGGGAGACCGCAAGGTGTCCCTGCACATGGATCTTCTGCCGTGGGTTTATTAGAGGGATTTGGGATCTCCTGTCGTGGTTTATCAGAGGGGTTTGGGGACCACCTTCCATGGGGCTTGGGGTCTCCTGCCATGGATTTATCAGAGGGTTTGGGATCTCCTGCCATGAATTTACTAGAGAGGTTTTGAGTCTCCCATCATGGGTTTATTAGAGGGTTTTGGGATCTCCCATCATGGATTTATCAGAGGTGTTTTGGGATCTCCTGTCATGGATTTATCAGAGGTGTTTTGGGGTCTCCTGTCATGGGTTTATTAGAGGGTTTTGGAGTCTCCCATCATGGGTTTATTAGAGGGTTTTGGGATCTCCCATCATGGATTTATTAGAGGGTTTTGGGATCTCCCATCATGGATTTATCAGAGGTGTTTTGGGATCTCCTGTCATGGATTTATCAGAGGTGTTTTGGGGTCTCCTGTCATGGGTTTATTAGAGGGTTTTGGAATCTCCTGCCATGGATTTGGGACCTCCTGCCAGGGGTTTGGGGTCTCCTGCCCCAATCCACCTTGGCAGGTGTGTTGTGCCTGCCCCAGTAATGCCCTCCCGAGCTCACAGTGACCCGGCCTGATCCCACCACAATCCCAGAACCATCAGGGTGGGGAGAGATCTCCATCATCCAGTGCCACCATCCTCCCCACCCAAAAACCGTGTCCCCTGGAGCCACTTCCAGGAGCCCCGTGAACACCTCCAGAGATGGTGACTCCACCCCTTCTCTGGGCAACTGAGGCGAATAAAGCAGCTCACAGTGCAAAAGCAATGTCTGATGTCCAGTCTGACCCTCCCCTGGCACAATGCAAGGCCATTTCCTCTCGTCCTGTCACTTGGGGTGTGCTGGAAGAGCCCAAACCTCCTCTCCTGGCAGGGAGATCCATGACTTCTCACCCCGATCCGGCGTTCCCGCTGTGCCCTGGCTCACGTGTGAGCAGCCAGCGACCCTTATCTTGCCTTGCCTTTAACCCAGTGAAGTTTGATTTGTCCATAAATCCATTTTGGGATACCCAGCCCGAGGGAGGGAGTCTCTGGAAAGATCCCAGCACCACCAAGGTACTGATTAACTTCACCCACCCCTCACCTAAAGGGAGCCATGAGGAAAGTTCATCCCGCAGCAGGAAGGAGAGAAGGGAAGGGAAGGACATTCCCTCTTCAGCAAAGAAGCAAATCCCCTCTTCACAAAAATATATAAATTAGCCCTTCTTGTGGGAAAATGCTGTTTGTTAAACTGGTCAACTTCACTATGACCACAAACCTCAAGTATTTTGTGTTCTGCCCAAAACCTGCTGTCTGACACTTTTCCAGGAGTTTCTCCCCACAAAGAAATAATTCCAGGTGCTGGTAAAATGGAAGGGAAAAATTAAGGAAAAGATGAGGAAAACAATATATAATTAAATCTTGGTGGGCTGAAGGAGGGGAGAGAAGCTGTGTGCCTGAGGGACAGCCATGGCTCTAAAAACCCCAGGCTGTGCTGTTTTCCCATGTTATTCCATCATCAGTTTGGGCATCGATGACATCAAAAGCAATGGGGTGAGGTTGAAAAATCGTGCTTGTGCTGATGCTGCTGGTTGGCCCAGTCAAGCCTGAGCCCTGGGTTCTCTCCTGGGTCTCTGGTGGTTGTTGGAACACCATCAGGGTCTGTTCTAGGCCTGCTGGGGAGGGGTTGGCAACCAGCTGTGGAACAGTTGTGTGAAGCCTGAACTTGGGCTTCACCTCCACAGACTTTCAAAAGAGAATAAAAGAAAAACAAACCACCCGCGATCCAAAGTGGTGAATTATTAACGAAGGGATTATCTCGAAGCAAAGTGCAACACCCATCACTCCCCCTCAAAAGCGCCTTCCAGCCACAGCCTGCAGCAGAAGCCTTTCCATCGGTCATAGGAAGATGGCTCTGAGGTTCTGCCCTTCCTGCATTTTCCTCCTCCTCCTCCTCCTGCCCGGCCCCTCGGCTGGGGGGAAGCTGCTGGTGGTGCCCATGGTGGGGAGCCACTGGCTGAGCATGAAGGAGGTGGTGGAGGAGCTGAGCCAGCGGGGCCACGAGGTGGTGGTGGTGATGCCGGAGGTGGCCTGGCAGATGGAGACCTCGCAGGCCTACAAGGTGGTCACGTACCCGGTGACGCAGACGCTGGAGGAGCTGGACGGTTCCTTCCGTGACTATGTGGACACCCACCTGAAGGGCCTGCCCTTCCCCCTGAACGCCCTGGAAATGTACAGGAGCTCGGTGCACGTCTTCAGCACCTTCTTCGGCCAGTGCAAGGACCTGTTCCGCAGCCAGGAGACCCTGAGGGCGCTGAACCAGACCGGGTTCGATGCCATGCTGACCGACCCCGTCTTCTTGTGTGGGGCCACTCTTGCCAACTACCTCTCCCTCCCCTTCGTGTTCTTCATGAGGGGCTTTGGCTGCAACCTCCACTTCGAGGCCCCCCAGTGCCCAAGTCCCCTGTCCTACGTCCCACGGCTGTTCACCTTCAACTCGGACCGCATGACCTTCCTGCAGAGGGTGGAGAACGCCCTGGTTTCCCTCCTGGAGCTCAAGTACTGTGATGGTTTCTATGAAGAAGCGCTGAAGTTCTCCTCAGAAGTCCTGCAGAGGGACGTGACCATTAGGGACCTTGTGGACTCTGCTTCCATCTGGCTGCTGAGGTTCGACTTTGTCTTCGAGTACGTCAGGCCCGTGATGCCCAACATGGTCTTCGTTGGAGGAATAAACTGTGCAAAGAAGAAACCCCTGAATAAGGTAAGGCTCCTTCTCTTTCCCACATTTTCCCAAGGAAAATTCACTACACTGCTGCTGGGAAATTGATGGCTATTGGTTATTTTTAATTTTCGGGAATGATTTAAAACCACCAGCTTTGGGCAGCTGTTTTCCACTGGCTGAAATCAAACCACCCTGGAGAGGGACCTCCTTGAATTAATAAGGATTTTCTCACAAAAACAGGGATTTCATCTGCCAGCTAATGTCCTCAGTGAATGTTTATTATTCACCAAGCTGATCCAGTCTGGATTTAATTTTAATGGAATCTGACATATATTTCTTTAATCTGACCGAAACCCCAGAGGCCACGCTCTGGGACTCATATTTTGGTTTTAAGTCCAGGCTCTGCAACGTCAGTTAATTTGCTCTGGTTGTACTTTCCTACCATTCAGTTCCCAAATTGTCTGTCCGTGTTAAGTTGTTCCTGTTTGGGTTGGTGGAACATAAACATCAGATTGAAATGGGAGGAAATAACCCTCAGTAGTGTATTTGGTGAATGCAAACCCCAGGTTTTCACACCTATCCCTTGACATTTGCTTTTACCAGGATTGTTCTGCAGGGTCTTCAAAGCTGAGTTAGCAATTCAAAGCCATTTTGTAGTCTCTGAAATATTCACATCGTTTTGTTCCCGGACACAAATCTCTTCCCTAGGAAACTACTCCTTCCCTTCTGAACTGTGCTCACACAATATCCCTGCAC